GGATTCTGAGGGATATAATTCCAGTTGAAGGAAAATGAATGCAGGTGTATGATCTGAGCTGCAAGGAGAAACAGTGAGCCAAGATAACTATGTGACAATCTAAACAAACTAGTGACCATACATGAAACAAAGATAATCTGTGGGGAAAATAAAGCAGGCTAGATTTAAAATGCCGAGTTACAATCACTAAGAAGTTGGGTGAGGAGACTGGAGAATAAAATTTTGCAAGGTCTTTGTGTTGTCCAGAAGACCATGGCTACCGAGTGCCTGTCATGTTGTCAAATGGGCATTAAAAAGAGCAAATACTAATAGAATAGACCCAATGTATACCTTCAAAAGAAATAAAGGGGAAAAAATAAACCAAGGAAAGCAAAGCAGTCCAAAGGAAGGCGAGAAAAGAGGAAGAGATGGACAGGAACAGGTGAAATGGAATGAATGAGTCAAAAGTTCAAAATATGGGGCAGCTGGGTAGCTCAGTCAGTTAAGACTCCGTCTCTTGATTTTGGCTTAGGTCAGGATCTCAGGGACATGAGATGGAGCCTCCCATCAGGCTCTGCACTCAGCATGGAGTCTGCTTGAGATTTTCTCTCTCTCTCTGTCTCTCTCTCTTCACTCTGCCTCTCCCCCTGCTTGTGCTAGAAATAAATAAACAAATCTTTTTTTTTAAGTTCCAAAATATGATGTTAGAACTAAAATGAAATTTCTAACCACAATAAGTATAAGTGGACTAAATTCTCCCATTAAGGCCTTAATAGTTACACCATGTTTAAAAAACAAAATAAATTTCAGCTATGTACTCTTTACAAAAGACACATAAAGCACCCAGAAAAAAAGGCCAAACTATGGAAAAGAAATACCAGGCAGTTGGTAACCAAAGGGAGAGGGAAAATACAGTTATATTAATATCAAAGGAAAATTCAGGCAAAACACATTATTAGAAATTAGAAATTTGCTGCATAATGATCAATGATTCCCTTCACCAGAAAGATGCATTGATTCTAAATTTGTGTATACCATGTAAACTTGTGTATAGCCTCAGGAAGCCAGACTGAGAGAATCAAAGGAAAAATTTGTCAAATCCATCATCATAAATTTTAACATATTTGGGAGTAATTCATAGATCAAACAGACAAAACAAAACAAAACAAAACAAAACAAAACAAAAAACCAGTAAGAAATTAGAAAAGTCAAGCTTGAACTAAGTAATGGACTTGACAGCATCTGATGTCTGGAAAAGACACAGTCCTTTTCAAGCACACTTGGAATATTTGGTGGACCTGATGCACTGGCACATAGAGCTGACCTCAGTGTAGTTCGAAGGACCGGGGTCTGACTGTAGTTTTTTGGGTTTTTAAATTATTTATTTAAAAAAATGTTTTTACCACAATGCAATTAAGTTAGAAAACAAAGCCAATATGATAATTAGAAAAATCCATTCACTTGGAAATTTAATAACACTTGTAATCAACTTAAGGGTCAGAGGAGAAAATATAATTGAGATGATTTCATTTCATCTTAACTTTTCACATCAAACTCATGGGATACAGTTCTTGGAAGGAAACAATACTAAATGCCTACAAAAAAAATATTAAGGCCCAAAATAGAGCTAAGATCTAATATAAATCAAAGACCCACAGACATAGAAGGAAGGAAATCAATAGAACAGAAACTCAGAAAATAGAGAAACATACAAGAGAACAGATCAACAAAACAAAATCTTTATGTTTGAAAAGATGATTCATTTTTTTTAAAAAAGGGCAAGTGGAATGGAAAGAAAAAGTAAATAAAACCTCAGATGCTAGAGAGAAAAGCAGTAAGAGGATATTAAGAACAACTCTTAATACTTTAAGACTTTGATATCATGGATGACTACCTAGAAAGATTGAATTTAGCAAAACAGCTCTAAGGAGTCCTTTATCTGTAAAAGAAATGCAACCGATAGGAAACAAGTTTACCACAAAGAAAACACCGCATTCAAATGGCCTTATCTGAATGGTAGGAAACATTCAGGAAGCAGATCATTCCATTCCTACAAAGAATAGAAAATAAAACAGCTCATTTTAAGAAGCCAGAATAACCATGATATCGAAACTGACAAAAACAACCAGAAAAAAAACACTAAAACCAACTTTCTCAGGAACATGTATATAAGAATTGAGAACACACATCCAACCAGATTCAACAATAAATAAAAAGAAATCATGATCAGGTTAGGTTTCACTCCAGGGATTCAATTCATTAACATTAGAATTTTATTAATAGAACTCATATTAATTAACAGATTAACAAGGAAGAGTTGTATCATCTCAACAGATAAGGAAAATAGAATTTGACATCCAGACATGATATTCAAAAATTATCTTATCATATTTTTAAAGCCAGCACGATGAATAGAAAAATCCATCTCTTAACTTGATAAATTTCCCTAATTTGATAAAAGACATCTACAAAAATCATCCAGCAAACATACTATATGGCAAGATTGGGAAAGAAGCTAAGATGTCCTGTCACCCCTCCCTCCCTCCTCTTTGATTATGCTGGGGTTTGAGCCAGCCTCATAGTAGACAAGAAAAAGAAACACATTTAAAGGGTGAGAATGTAAAATAGGACAGCCACTGTGAAAAACATGTATGGCAGTTCCTCAAAAAATTAAACAATCACCATATGATCCAATAATCCCACTTCTGGCCATATACCCAAAAGAATTGAAAGCAGGGACATGAAGAGCTATGTGCACACCCATGACCATAGTGTTACACACAATAGAAAAAAGGGGGAAGCACCCTAAGTGTCCCTTGACAGATGAATGGATGAATAAAATGGGGGTATAAACGTACATTGGAAAACTATTCATCCTTAAGTAGGAGGGAGATTCAGACACAGGCTACAACATGGATGAATCTTGAGGACAGTATGCTAAGTGAAACAAGCCAGACACGAAAAAACAAAAAACACTATGATTCCACTTAAACGAGGTACCAGAGTAATCCTGTTCATAGAGACTGAAGGAAGAAAGGGGACCATCAGGAGCTGGGGGAGGGAGATGGAGAGGTCACGTTTCATGGGGACAGAATTTCAGTTAAGGAAGGTGAGAAAGGTCTGGAGAGATGGGTGATGGTGATTATTGCACAATAACATGAAAGTACTCAATGCCACTGAACTATACACCTAAAAGTGGCAAAAATGGTAGATTTTACGGTATGAATATTTTATGAGAATTTTCAAAAATTGTAAAGATTCCAAAGGAAGTTACAGAATTACTCTCAAATGCAAATGGTATGAGTGTCCATAAACACCACTCTCCCAAAGTCAGTAGTTCTTACTAAGCTGGCATTTTTTTTTTTTTAATTACTCATGATTTGTGAATGGAGATGTGTTTCAGGGACTATATACAAAATTATCATCTTTTTGAAAAGGAAGAAAAAGCTTCTATTAGACTGTCAGAGGGGTTTGTGACCCACAAAAGTGTAAGAATCATTTTGAGTGCCCTCCACCTTCCCCCCAAGCTCTGTGGGCTTCACACAGGCTGAGACCAGACCCCCTCCATCAGTAATGTCTTAGGAGCCCACTTCACCTCCCTTACCCCAACCCCTCCCTCCCTCCCTCTCCCCACCCCCCACACCACTTTTCTATTTCATCCACCTGGGTTGTTTAAATACTACGTAAAGTATATTCTTTTTTATTATGTTATGTGAGTCACCATATAGTACATCAGTAGTTTTTGATGTAGTGTTCTATGATTCATTGTTTGGGTATGACACCCAGTGCTCCATGCAATCCGTGTCCTCCTTAATACCCATCACCAGGCTCACCCATTTCCCCCACCTCCTCCCTTCTAAAACCCTCCGTTTGTTTCCCTGGAGTCCATAGTCTCTCATGGTTCATCTCCCAATCCCGATTTCTCCCCCCCTTTTTTTCCCCTGCCTTCTCCTAATGTCCTCCATGCTATTCCTTATGTTCCACAAATAAGTGAAACCATATGGTAATTGTGTTTCTTTGCTTGACTTCTTTCACTCAGCATAATCTCCAGTTCCAGCCGTGTCGATGCAAATGGTGGGTATTTATCCTTTCAGATGGCTGAGTAAGATTCCTTTGTATATAAGGACCACATCTTCTTTATCCATTCATCTGTTGAAGGGCATCTCAGCTCCTTCCACAGTCTGGCTATTGTGTCCATTGCTTCTATGAACATTGGGGTACAGATGTCCCTTCTTTTCACTACATCTGTATCTTTGGGGTAAATTCCCAGTAGTGCAATTGCTGGGTCTTAGGGCAGCTCTATTTTTAACTTTTTGAGGAACATCCGTACTGTTTTCCAAAGTAGCTGCACCAACTTGCATTCCCACATGAAGTATATTCTTAAATATTCCTTGAATTCATTGGCGAAGCTTTACTTTTTTTTAAGGGAAGTGAGACCTTGAATTCACCCAAACTTTAGCTTTTTTCCTATTACCCTTCTTTCCCTGCATGATCATATTGAGCAGGCCCCACTCTAGCTCGGGGCCTGGGGCCCAGAAGGTGTCAAATACCTATGCGGTGATTAGAATACTCCAAACCGTGTTCTGTAACCTTACATAATTTTTGGCCAGATTACCTTGCTGGTTTCCTATCTTGCATTTCATGTGGGCAGAATTTTCACAAGCCAAAGACCCCCGCTCAATCCCTCTGTCTTCCCCGGGTGGTGGTGAGGATTCCTGGCAGGGTAAGCATGACAGAGAGCTGCCTCTCAAAGGAGGCTTCAACTTTGAGAAAATCCAGGGAATGAAAACTGGGGCCAACTTACTTTCCATCCAAGTAAATTCTGAGACTTTTTTTTTTTAACAAAATGCTTTTATTTCTATTTTTTAATGGAATGCATTGTTAGGTTCTTGCGTGAACTATCAAAAGGCATTGATAGCGTTTGCTTTAACTCTTCCTTCCTGGTTGCAGAAAGGGGGTAGAAAAGATCTGCTGAAGTCAAGCACAGCAGAAGCCACATGGCGCGAGGCAGTGAAGGGGTCACCTGTGGCGCAGGTGCACGGAGCGTGGAGTGATGGTCAATAGTCATCGTAGTTGACGTTGGCTCCATGCCTGAAGCTGTCAAGGCTCTGGGGACCAATCGCTGCATCCTCGTCATAGTGACGTTGGTAGTAATCATAATAGTCATGCCCATTCCGACCTCTGTTAAGCCAATAAGTGACATCATCTTCAAATTTCTGGGGAAAAAGAGAGAATGGATTTTAGGACACATACTCCCCCTAGAACACATCTTATGCCTGGCTTTTCTCTGTGATGGCTTTTCTTCGGTGATTAACAGCTCTTACCAAGAATCACTGGTCATGATGGTATTCTGAGCTCAGAGGCCAACAAAGCCAGCTAAAGAGTATGGATAAAAGCCATCATCGGGAGGGAGACAAACCATAAGACTCTTAATCTCACAAAACAAGCCGAGGGTTGCTGTGGGTAGGGAGGTAGGGAGAGGGTGGTTGGGTTATGGGCATTGGGGATGGTATGTGCTATGATGAGTGCTGTGGAGTGTGTAAGCCTGATGATTCACAGACCTGTACCCATGGGGCTAATAATACATTATATGCTAATAAAAAAATTTTTTTTAAAAGCCATTGTCTCCAAAGGAGTGCACACCCAAGCCCTTGAAAACTTCTACCCTGTGAGTTCTAAATATCCTCAACAAACATTTTTCTCTTTTTGGGGACATAAAATGGACAACTCCCAAAGATAGTGATAGCTTGGCCTGACCTCCAGGCGCTGCACACATCTTAGAGACATTGCCTTCTCTCCCTGTCCTGTCCCTGGCTTGGCCCCCTCCAGTGCACAGAGTAGATGCTTGATAAATTAAATCAGCCACCACCCTAGCGTGGTAGAGCCATGCGTCCTTGCAGTGGTGTTAGTTAGAACCTGCACGGTTGCACTTACTCATTCCACAGTCGTTGATTACATGGACCCAGCATGTCAGTGCTGTGCTGGGCACTGAAGGGCCACCCAGAGCAAGCAGGACAGATTCCCTTGCCTTCATGAAGCCTACAGCAGCTGAGAGACACACGAAAAGAGACAGTTGCAATTAGCAGGAATAGAAGAGAAGGGGAAGAACTGAAGAAAGTGAGAAGCACAGAAGGACTGGCAGGTTTCCAGCTGGGGAAGCTTTGCTCTCGATGCCTCTCCTAAAGGGAAAACTAATTCTTTGTCGGTAGTGAAAGTGCAAGACGAATGCAGATGGCTGCTCGCATGGGTTGATGCTGACAACTTGGCGAGAGGTTTGGTGTGAGGCCACAAAGGTGGGGACAAGAGAAGGATGACCTAGGGAGGTTGCAGGGTACCTAAAAGTTTGGGTCCAATTTTTCTCGAAATGTGGCCAGTGAACCCCTGCGTCCAAAATCTAAGGATGCTATAAAGTGTGAGTTCGCAGGCACCCTTCCACGCTGTCCGGATGGAATTTTCCGGTGGTTGGGTCGCAGGCATCTGAAGCTGGTAGGCCTGGCCTCGCCCGTGATGGTGTTCTCTGTGGTTAGCCACTTTGGGTGAGGAGTAGGTCAGCTTGTGCCACGCTAGTGAGCACCGCCCTGCCCCTCCTCTGTTTGCTGAGCCCCAGGGGCTTTGGCTTCTGCTCAGTTCCTCCCCCCACCACCACCTCTGCCATGAAAGCCAGAATGTTTGCTTTCCTCACAATGCTGCAGCTTTTCCCATAGTGAAATCATCTTTCCCCTTGGTTTCTTGCATTTTATAATCGTGTTTGAAGTTTTGGCAAAGCTCAAACCTTGAAACATCAAGGTTTTCAAGAAATTAAAGAAATGTTTTGCGGGTACGGAAATAACACAGACTCATACTTTACAGATCGATACGTGGGAGTGGGACAGAGGAAAAGGGGGATCATAACTCCACTGCCAAAGACAACTGTAACTGACATTTTGATATATTTCCTTCCAGTCTCTTCCGTGAATAGTTTTTAAAAAGATTTATTTATTTATTTGACAGAGAGAGCACAAGCAGGGGGAGTGGCAGGCAAAGGGAGAAGCAGACTCGCTGCTGAGCAGGGAGCCTGATGTGGGGCTCGATCCCAGGACCCCGGGATCATGACCCCAAGCCAAAGGCAGCCACTTAATTGACTGAGCCACCCAGGTGCCCGGTTGTGAGTTATTTTAAAGACTCCCAGGTAAAATCGTGCAGCAAAGTTACACGGGATTCTGGGATAAATTTAAGTCCCAGCCGTTTTGGACAATGACTTCTCTGGAATCCCGTTTCCCACTCATGGTGGGAGAGATTCCCATGTGCGTGTGGTCTGACGAAAAATTCCAGCTCATATCCCTGTAACCCGATGGAAATGTTACCCAACGCCAGGGGGGCACTTGGTCTATCATGGGGACTCATCCTTTTTGAAGTGAATTCCGAAGCCTAATTTTCTGTGCCCTGTTTCCCAGAGCCATGACTCTGCCCCCAGCACGCTGTCCTGGGGGGAGCCAGGCCTGGATCCAGCAGGTGGAAGTACCCACCGCTTCATCAAAGCCCCTGTAGAGGAACTGCTGGTACCACTGCTGGACCTCCGGCCGGGTCCGGTCCCACAGCTGCCGCTTCTGGCGCCTCGGGCTGTTCAAGAATTCCTTGGCCTTGCTCTCGTCCATCGCCACTTTAGTCTTAGCTGGAGCAGGTGCTGAAAGGATCAATTCCCCACCCCCCAAAGTACAAAGAATGAGTTCTGTTCTGATGGGGGCGAATCACTAGTATACATATCCCATACCCCCAGCCCACCCTGCCTAAGATCGCTTTGATTTTCACTCTTACACCATATGTGATAAAACACAGCCGCCCGTCATCAGTCTCCATGCCCCTGGGTCGTAAGCTCTCCATTTGGGCGCAGCCATATCCAGGGGCACAGACTAGTCCTCAACTTCTAGGGCACGGGGGCAAGACAAGATGTCTTGTCCTCTGCAGTGACTCACCAGGCCTAGACCCCAGGCCTCAGGCAGGGGCTGATGGCGTACCCCTTAAGCATTTAGGAAACATCTGGATGCCTAAGACCATACAAGTGTATGTTCCTTGCACGGGCAAACCGGTGAGCACCGTGCTTGCTTAGGAGATCTCGGGGAAAAATGAAACAATGAGCCCAGGCCCAGCACAGCAAGCTCTCACCCTGGAGAGACGGGGCCACCTTGGGACACGCTCTGCAGACCTCACAGCTCACCAAGGATTCAACCGAGTCTTGACAGGTACTGGCCCTTGCTTTAACACCTAGCTTCTCCCAACGTCTTCCCACTGTGGTCTCAGCTGTTTAAAAGGCACCGGTTGTGCGGGCTGGGCTCAGGGAAAGCAGCTGTGTCCCTGTGTCTGCCCCTGCTCTGGGCCCCCCTCATCTATACAGCTGGACTGGCAGTCCCCAGTGTTGCTGTGAAGGCCCCACGAGCTGATGGGAGTGAAGTGCCCGGTGTGTTCCTTGGGTCACATGGATAAGGAGCCATAAATGTGTTCCTTCACTTCCTGTTCATCTGTGTCCCTCTCTCGGGGCCTGTTACTACTCTTTTGTACATAGTACGTGCTCAATCTGTATTTCTAGGTTTGACTTGAATAAGGGCTGAGGGTGTACACCAGGATTTGTGATTATCCTGGTGGTCTGCTCTCTCCCACCTCTGACAGGCTGGCCGTTCAAGAACATCCATCACCCCCAGGTGCCTGGGAGGAGCAGGCTGCCCAGCACAGACATCAGGGACTGGCCAGAGCCTGGTGGGCGGCTGGAAATGCTAAGAAAGATTCTGGGAGCTTCCTCAGGAGCCCCCCATCCCTGCGAGGGGCCCCAAGTGCTCAGCCCCCGGGGGTTCTGGGGGGCTGACTGGGAAGCATGTGAATAGCACTAAGGAGCCCCACATGGTCAGGGAGCAGACTTGAACCTGTCAGAACCCCCTTCCAGCTGGGTGGGGTCCAGGGAAGGAAGAATAAAGGATCAAAGGTTCACATTAGAAACGTTGCCACACTCCTAACTACCAAAAGATAGAAAACTTCTTCATTTTATGGCAAAGATGACAGTTTCAAGGGAAGACAGCCTTCACAAGACCACACGATTGGTCCAACTGATCTACCGGATCATGGCAGGCCCAGAACGTGCGTGGCTCCCAGCCTGTTCCGTTTCTACAGTGTTTTGCTGCTGGCTACCCGTTCATCATAGGAGTATTTTCTCACAACAAGTGTTAGTCACAAAACAGTTGTTTCTGTTCCGCCTTGCCCCCAAGGGCTCACTGGATATAGAGTACCAGGATAGTACTTTTCCAAGTCTACTTCACCAACCGACATCTTATGTGCTCTAAAGGATATGCTTTAAATTTAGATATGTGCTCCAAAGGGTTTCATGTTTCCAAAATACACAACATGCAATGAACAACGCTGTTTCTTTTACTTTGGGGTCTGTACTGACAGCTTTCACAAAAGCATATGCAAACTTTTACCGACAGTATTATTTACCTAATAAAATGCCTCACACATACCCACAGAGTAAGCCCTTCAGATCTGCCAGCCTTTCAAGAAGTAAACACTTTGGTGTTTCAAGCACAGGACCCCAGCGAGCACACGCAACATCGCCTTTCATCGCGACCCGCTAGGAACGCCGCCCTTCTCCATGCGGAGTGTCCTTACCTTCCTGCTTTTGAAGCAGCAGCTTGAGTTTATTCCCACTTACGCCACCTAATGGAAGGGACATAGAAATCATGTCAGAGTCACACTGTACCCTTTAATTTCTCAAGTGCAAGAATCAGAGTTGGAAAAAGTCCCTGCGTGCCCCCGTCTCCATCCCGTAACCTGGCGGTTTCACAGTTTTGCTGTTTGCCTCATTCCCCGTCATGCAGGAAGAGCAATTCAGGTTGCTCCTGGCTCAGACCGATGACAATGACCGTGGCTGACCAGGGCCATGGATGATTTGAGCTATTCCCAGGAGAAATGACATTGTTCTTTGAGCCCCTTATGTCTTATTATGAGTCCTGGGTACCCGGCACGTGTAAGAAACCTGCAGACTTTCCCTTTTTGTGGTATAGCGAATGGAATAGTGTTCCCCCCCCCCCCGCCCAAATTCATATCCATCCAGAACCTCTGAATGTGAACTTGTTTGGCAAGAGGGCATTTGCAGATGAAATCAAAGATCTCAGTTAACTGTGAAGGAGTGGTATCCCGCTGGATGTGAGATGGGCTCGGAATCCGATGGCTGGGATTGTTGGAGGAGAGGGAGAGGGTACAGAGAAGGTCTCCATGGGAAGACAAAGATGGGCAGACACTGAGAAATTATGCTGCCACAAACCCAGGAACGCACCTTAGCTCTTCATAAATTCAGCTCAGTTTTGTAGCTCGTCTGGCTCATCTTCCAATGAGGCAATATTGGTACCATTTGCTCTGATTTTGACTTGGTTATGACAGTATTTCTAAGCAGCCTAAACATCTGACTAGGAAATAACATGCCTGGCCTTGTAGGATACCTTTCTATTGCTGCTGAGTAGATGTGAGGACCTATAGATACCTCTGATCTAAGTTCTATGTGAAGGTACAAGGCTTGTCCCATGAAAGGAGAAAAGCCTCAGAAGTAAGGGGCAGAGCATGTTTAGGTGTAAGGAGCTGGTCTGGCCCCAAGAGGGAAGGGGTGGTGTCCCCCTTTTCAGGCAGGTCCTTAACCTCCCCATCCTTGGACAGACCCTAAGGCCTGTGCTCGCATTTGCAAAGAGGTACAGTTTTCTGGGAACAGGAGCCATAGTTCTGGCCAGACTTTCACCAAAAGTGTCTGGGACCAAGATAAGATTAAGAACCACCCACTGCTTAAAAAAATTTACTATGTAACCTGGGGAGGGTCTGGGCGGGGGGGGGGGGCGGGGACCATGCTTGTGGCCAAAGGTCACAAATTGGCTACCCACAGCTGAGTTTTACCTGTGTTTAATGAGCGAAACCAGTGTTTACAAAGTTTGAATTTGAATGGCTCTGGGCCCAAGCCCCTCAGCACACCCCGTGGTCCATAAAGAACCATTTCACCTATTGGGTCTCTGTAGGCATCTGAAGTTGAGCACTACCCAACCGCCTTTAGCGTAGGTATGCCAGCCACAAAGCATGGTTGGAAAGAGTCTCTAGGAACAAGGAATTTGGGGGGGGTGGTGTACAGCATACATTTACTACCAACAACACTCTCAGCTCCAAAACTGGGCACAGAGATTAAAAATAAAACTACATTGCACTTCTCAGTAAAGCATTACTAGTAACTTTCACTAAAAATGTATAAACTTTGTTAAAAATTTACCAAGCCTTCAAATGATTTGATTACAGATATTTATAATACATACATTTTAAACTATGTTAACTGATACAATTGGAAAAGATGAGTCAGCAAATAGTTTCCAGAAACAGCCCTGGCCCATAGATTAGGGCAAAAACTAAGGTTTCCAATACCTGGGCAGCCAATCCAAAGATGGGGGGTGAGTCACCCCAAGTGTTTCCCCATCAAGAGTAAATAAGCAGAGATAGGCATTTGATGGAGTTCCTTTAGAGGGGATTATTTAATTAGAATGGAGTGCGACTGTACTTAAAGACTGTACTTCCCATCAAATGTTAAGAGTCAATAAAGAAATTTATGAACACATTTGCCAAAGCAGACAGATACATTCCTTGGCACAAATATTAGCATTCATTAATATCTTAACCCTGGTCCATCTCTAACAGCAGCGCGGTACACACAGAATTAAGTGTCGTCCCTCCACCTGTTTGTCTTCCGTAAAAGCCCTGGAAAATAAATGAATGAAATGTGGCCTAATGTTGAAATAGACATTGGAGTTAGGCATCTGCAATCTCGTTGCAATTTCTAGCAGCAAATGTTGTCACCACTGTTCTAGACACTTGATCTTAGCCAAAAGGCCGAGAAGCGATCACCACTGTTCTAGAAATGAAAGCCTCACCAGCTCTCAGCTGTACAACAGAAAGGCACAGAAAAATTAGGAATTTTTGAGTTGCCACTGTGCCAATCATTACACACTGAAGTATAAATAAATATTAATACTTGTGATCAGACACCAAACTAAATTTGCTTGAAGAAAAAAATGAAAAAATGAATAGCTGTGACTTTTTCCCTACAGTATGGATTTTTTACCCTGATATCATCAGTCACTACTTCTAGGCTGCTTATAGACACTCCTGGATTTATTAAACCTGGTACTAGATCTCTCAGCAAATACAGAATTGCAGGATGCCCCCTTTGAATGTGCTAACTATTAATAAATGACTCAAGAAGGAGCGATGATCATTTTCTCCATTAAATATATTTGGGTGTTGTAAGGAGCCACCTGTGGGACTTGATACATCAACATTTTCATTTTATGTCCTAAGAACTTTCACACTCCAGCTTCAACGATGATAATATTTTAATCGATACCTTCGCTGCATTCTTGGTACAAATAAGATAAAATACAAATTTGAAAGGCAATGGCTTACAGCAGGTGCTCCCTCCTTTTATTCAGATGTGTTTTTGAAAATGGGAGGGACAAAGTAGGAGAGGCAGATCGATCATGTAATTGACTAGCCTCCCCTGTGTCTGTAACTTAGAAGGAGAGCAATTCCCCCTACTTGAACAGGTCCCCCACTGCTCTGGAGACCTGGAGCTTTGGCCTCAGGGCTCCTAGGGCAGATTAACTCCCTCCCTTCCACCTGGAATTTGCTTTTCCATACCTGTTTTGAATAATCAAAGTACAGAAGTAAAGCAATCCAGTGTGTCTTTCATTGTCGTTAGCCATCTACTCTGTAGGGGGAAAAGCAGCCGTCTCACGGGCAAGCCTTTCATGCCTTCTGGCCCCTGTATCCTTAGCAGGAGACCTGGGGTCACCATATGCCTCCCAGAGTTGTGAGGCTCAAAGGTGCTCATGCAGGCATGAGGCCACTAGTGAACCATAAAGGAGGCTACAAGTGGAAGGTAGCATGGTCAGGACTCCCAGGGTTCAGATGCCTGCACCCCCACCAAACTACTCCATTTGGGGGATGTGTATGAATATGCTCATTTTATACGGAAGAATTTTCAACCGATTCACTGAAGGCTCCGTGAAGCACAGAAGGTTAAGCATTTATCCTTTAAGAGCATTTCCCCCATCTGGGATGTGAGGCCTGTGCACAGTCTGGCAGACCTGGAAAGGGACTCATTGGGAAGTGCCTGGTAAGGAACTGCCTGGAAGGGCAGCTGCGTAATGCTGCTTTGGGATAGCCCTCCATCCTAGAGGCTCCCACCGCCGAGAGCTCCCGTTAAGCCCCTTACATTAGGTCCCAAACACTTCCTGCCCCTCCTCTGGACCTTGGGCCTCATTCTTTCCCAAGGTGTCCAAGCCATATCTGAGACCCTGCCCTTGACCCTGGTACTCCGTCTGCTGGCCCAAGCGCGCCACTCCAACTTGTGCAAGTGCAAAACCCAAGACCCCTGCCACCCTTTTGGTATTTGTCTGGGCTCAGGTTGGGTCTCTCCGCCCTCGCTCCATCACCGACCACCGTCCCCAGCGCCCTGTCGTCGCCCCACTTACCTGGGCCCAGGCAGAGCAGCAGGAGCAGTGCCAGCGCGATCAGAGCTAGGACGGTGGGCCGCGCGGATGAGGCGGCCATGGCTGCAACGGGAGGGCTGGGAGGAGACGCGCGCACTTCGAGCCGCTGCACGAGAGGACTGAGCTAGATGGGACAGGGGTGCAGGCAAGCGGGCGCTCCCTACTTTCCAGCCGGGGCGGGACCTGCTGGCCGGGCGCTGAGCCAACGGGCCGCAGGCCAAGCTGCCGCTCGGAACCCCACTGAGTTCCGCACTGCCCGCACCCGGGTCACGCTGGCTGCCCCTCTACGGGGGCGCCGCCGCTCGGCTCCAAGGCCACGGACGCGCGCGATGCCGGGGCCACCGAGGGCCGCGGGGGTAAGGGGAAAGGATGGGGAGATGGGCCACCAGGTCCCAGCTCGGGTTTCTCTCCCTCTTCCCCTCTCGGCCGGCTGCCTATTGGATGGCCCGCTCCCGCTCTCCCGCTTTCCCCTCTGCGCTAGTGCTTCCCTTCTTCCCCATCTCGCTCCCTCCCAAGCTCCCGGCTTCAGGCCCTGCTCCGGCCTTGGCTTCTAAAGTGGCCTTTGGAATTTCCTTCATTCCGGGAGTGGCGCTTAAAGATGCTTTTGGCGGTGCTGTATTTTGTGAGACTTTGAAAGACTCCACAGTCTGGGTTCAGAGCTGCAGTTTAGGAAGACGTCGCCCCCCAAACTACTCTAATAGAAAAGCCTTTCAGAAACCAGGAACCTGGTGAACCCCTGGGTGTTAGCAGGACAAATGGGTCCTTCTGTGGGCCCCATAATCTGTGCACACTTAGAAGATATTAAAGGGAGGCCCAGGGACACCGTAGAAGTGCCCCTCCCCCCACCCCAAACCAAACACAGAGACACTAACAGGCAGTTGTCCCAGCTGATCTTGAGCTGGTCACCTGCATTTATAAAAATGGCCATGTGGCTACATTCCCTTTATGGACCCTTCCCACCTAAAATCTGCTTTGGACTCAGCTAGATTGCTTTTCTGAAGCTGGTTTCTCATTTTTTATATCTTCCCATGGTCAGTGATGACCATCCTGCCATAGGATTCACTCTCCATGCGATACAGCTGGCTGTCCCGAGCAGGCAGGGAGAAAGCACCGTCATTCTGAGCTCCCGGAGGCAGATGGTAGCCCAGGGAGAGAAAGTGTGAAGTGTGTCACAGAATCACGAAGACCTGAGCCAGAGAGAGCCTGAAAGGGAGGGTCACACACCTAACGGTTGTAAGGAAATACTCACCAACCCTTGGGGGACCTGAGGAGTCAGGGAGAAGGAGAAAACCTACAGTAACAAAACGTGGTGGGTTTCCTTTAGCCCAGGGATGAGACATTTGTTAGCAGGAAGAAAACCAAATCAAATATAAAGCCACTGTCCTGTTTGGATTGGTTTAGGACATACATTAAAGATATTAATTGTAATGTCTCATCTTGTGGACATCATCCCGTCCACGCTCCAAATCTCCGGGAGGATATGCTTCGAACATAACATTCAACTTCTCTCATAACTAGGATCTGGTGAGAACTGAGTTCATGACCCCATAGTATGGACAGTAGCCACCTCCCTGGACAGTGTCCTTTTTCTGTCTTTTGGGTGCAGACCTACATTTCCTCCCCTCACCCATCCCTTCCCATTTTCAGCTGAAAATGCAGAACAGTGATATTTTTTTCTCTTAATTCAAAGATTCCAAGGGGAAAAAAAGGTCTGCTTTAATCAGCTTATACAGTTGTAGCTTTTGAAGACAAAGTGATTATTGAATCCTAATATTTTATGAGCCTGTATTTTTTTAAAAGAACTTTGATTTAAAAACAAATAAGCAAAAAACCAAAACAACAACAAAAAAACACACACCAAATAAGCACTGATGTCACATTGGTAAGATAAATCAAGTATCCTATAGAAAATATTTTAAAATAATTGCCATAGGTGGGAAGAACATTTCCTGAGATGAGGCTCAGATTCCTTTCCCCAGGATGCTCATTCAGGTGCCACTTCCAGAGCGATCCAGCCAAAACCCTGGAGCACTGAGGAACAAGCAGCATCTTTCACAGGGAGTGCGGTGATGAGAAGACATTGCCAGAATGGTAGACGGAAGCACAGTTGACACTTTCTAACCAAGCAGATACACAAGATCATGTTTACTTGCAAAACTTGAAAAAAAAAAGTGGTTTCCAGAAAATTTTATGATTCCCGGGTAGGTGGGACATTACACATCCCAAATTATGACTGATTTCTCCATCTCTGCCAATCAAGGAGACGGCCTCTTTGGGTAAAATGTCTATTGAAATATAACATAATCCAGGAAAGTGTGCAGATACATGACATCGTGATCAGGAAACAACTTTAACCCTCCTGGGGCCCATCTCCATCACCCTTACCCCAGAGGCAGTGTACCTTGATGGTCTGAAGCAATCATCCTTTAAAAAAAGCTTTAGGGGTGCCCGGTGGCTCAGTAAGTTAGGTGCCCGACTCTCCATTTCCGGTGGGGTCATAATCTCCGGATCCAGCCCCTCATTGGGCTACATGCTCAGTGGGGAGTCCGCTTGAGGATTCTCTCCTTCCCTCTCCTCTCCACGCCTCCCAACTCATGCTCTCCCTTAAAAAAAAAAAAAAAAATTCATTGATGTTTCATTTCCTTAAAAAGGAAAAAAAAACCCTCAAAATAAAGACTTATGGTTACCAACAGGAAGATATTAATTACTAGAAAGAGCCATTAAAAGCATCAGATTTGTGGGGCGCCTGGGTGTCTCAGTGGGTTAAAGCCTCTGCCTTCAGCTCAGGTCGTGATTCCAGGATCCTGGGATCGAGCCCCGCATCGGGCTCTCTGCTCAGTGGGGAGCCTGCTTCCCTTCCTCTCTCTCTGTCTGCCTCTCTGCCTACTTGTGATCTCTGTCTGTCAAATAAGTAAATAAAATCTTCAAAAAAAAAAAAAGCATTAGATTTTTGACTGTGTCAATTGAATCCAGTTCAGTTCTATTCAATTCTGTCTCAATGTGTATTTCTCAAAATGCTCACTGGGCATCCTTCGCCTCGACCATATTGCAGAGGGACGTGTCTTTGTCCCACTAGTCTTGTCTGCCTTCCGCACGCCGCTAGTAACATCTTACCACCACTGATAAAATAGCCCACAGCTCTTGCAACTATGCATCCCACTGAGTCCTTTGTTCATATTCATTCCTGCCTTGTCCAGGATTACTTGGGTCCTGCTTGGTGTGATTTCTGTGTCTCTCCCACACAAACATGGGATAATCCAGCTGTCATGCGGGGTGGCGGCTGGGAAGGATTGGGCCCCAGTGGCGGTTGCTACAGCTTCCCACGTGTGATGGAAGTCTCCGTGTTCCCCATGAGGTAAAAAGCCCCTTTCATACACCGTGTTTGGTGGCCGACTTTCCTTTCCTCTGGGACAAATGAACTCGGGTGCTTCCACTGGAGACTCTATGTCAGTTCTTGATACCAAAGTTCCTTTTCACTTGCTTATTTGACAGTATATATGAATACTAATTAGGTATGAGGCACTGGGAAAAGTCCTTTTCTTCCTGTGTACCTAAATTTGTCCTCCCGCTCAAGTGCATGCCTCTCCTTTCTCCCTCTGCTCGAGCTGGTCACATTCTTTATTTCAGTGTTTTTCAAACTAGGTCAAAAAATCCCGGGGTGCCCATTACTGCACGCTCCTGGGTCAGACTCCAGGGAATTCTAATCCAGTCCATCTCGGGTGGGCCCAGGGGTCTGCATGGGTTGTAAGAAGCGGCTCTTCGAGAGTGCTGATGGCCACAGTGCTCTCGAGTACCATCTGAGACTCTCAGCTCACAGGGGTCTCCACAAAACTTGCCTGCTCCCCTCAGTCTGTGCCTGGCCTCCCTGTCCCTACACTTTCTGCCCCCATTTACCAGACCAGTCCCAGGGGCTTAATTTCTGCCATTTGGCACAGCAGCGGAGAACACAAGCTTTAGGTTTCAGTTCTTTCCTTGTTGTGTACTAACGATGCTCATAAATCGCATGTCCTCTGTGGTTCTGCTGAATTTGAGAAATACCATCTAGCATGTTGATACCAGAAGTCATGTGTAGAGAGCCTGGTATTCAGTAGGCACCCAAGAAATGTTTAGAAAGGTTATCTTTCTCAGAACTTCCCTGTGACCTCTCTGCTCAGGGTCTCTGTGGGTCCTCCACTCACCCTGCAGCCTGGGCCAGGGGCTGAGGAGACTTTGTTAGGGATGGGTCCCCATCTCCCCTACACCTCATTATTGTACGTTATCAGAGCCCTGCTGTGGCATCCTCCACCTCAAAATGCAACACAAACCAACTTCCTCCCTCTCTTTCTCCTAGTTTACAAGAAACAAGGTTTCTTGTTTGTTTCTTGTAAACTACTACTCTAGTAGTAGAGTGTGTTGAATGATATCACAGGGTGGGGAATTCTACAGAATTCTGCAGAACATGGGAAAGGGAGCAGCATCTGACACGCCACTGCTGTTTATTACAAGAGACCTCAGAGACAAATCAACCAAATACAGTGTGGGACCCAACTTGACTCTGAGTCCAAACAAACCAGGAGTAAGAACACAATAGGGGAAATTTGATACAAGAGACTTGATAATGGAATGGGTGTCTTATTACTATTGTTGCTTTTTTAGGCATGAAAATGGTTTTACAGTTACTTTTAAAAGCACTTATTTGTTAGAAATGCCTACTGGAATATTTATGGGTAAAGTGATCTGATGTATGAGATTTGCCTAAAAGTATTTCAGGAAAAAAGACTGGCAAACATTGACAATGCTTTTGCTAGGAAACCACTTAGACATGGCTTGAACCCCACTGGTGATGTCTACAGAGGATCAGGATACTATTTTCTATGTGTATATGTGTATATACATTTCCATAATCACAAGTTTAAAAAAAAAGAGAAGCTTAGTGGCATCCCATTGACTATAGAATATATAACACAACACATGTCCTTCAGACTCTCTATTTAGCCTTAAAATATGGCTAATAGTTATTTTCATCCCTTATACATCCTGTAAGTTTTCTGAGTTCCCCAAAACTCAAATTCTTGAGTAGATTGTTTTCACCTTCAGACCTTCATGGCTTCACCCACAACATTCCCATTCTCTGGGATGCCATGAAGCCTACTGCACTGGTCACCTGCCCCTGCAGGGCTCAGCTGGGGGG